GTGAGTTTGACCATAAACGAAGGATGTTACGTAAGGAAATCGGACAAAGCTTGGGTAAGTACCGAAAAGCCTGGTGGTCGAAGCGTGCTGATGAGCTGGAAGCAGCAACTGCATCTGGTAACTACCGGAAGCTCTTCCAACTCATCCGAGTCACTGGCAGCAAGAAGTCTGGTGTGAGTGAAACAATCTGCGAGGATGATGGGATGCCAATCACTAACATCCATCGACGTCTTGGACGATGGGCAGAATTTTTCGAAGGGCAGTTCAACTGGCCTGCTGCTCCGGCAACATCGGTCAGACTGTCCTGCCCTCCATGGCCGGTGACGACTGATCCACCAAACGAGGAGGAAGTCCGCAAGGAACTCCAGCTCTTGAAGCGTTACAAATCACCTGGCCCAGATGACTTACCTCCGGCTCTTTTTAAAGATGGTGGTGACTTTTTGACTAAGGAATTGACGACGCTGTTTACAAAGGTTTGGGAACTAGAGAGTGTACCAACGTCATGGAATGAGTCGATAGTTGTCCCTATCTTTAAAAAATGTTCACGTCGTTCTTGTAACAACTATCGGGGGATAAGTCTACTTCAGATTGCGTCCAAGCTATTGGCTTCCGTCATTCTTTGTAGGTTGTTCAAAACCCGAGAGAGATTGACTCGCGAGGAGCAGGCTGGGTTTCGTTCTGGTCGAGGATGTATTGATCGTATCTTCACCCTCCGCCAGATGTTAGAACACCGCCATACTTTTCAAAGGCCAACAATCGTAGTGTTTCTCGACATCAGGGCTGCCTTCGATTCGTTGGATAGGACTGTTCTCTGGGATTGTCTATTGAAGAAGGGTGTGCCTGAGAAGTTTATTAACATCCTAAAAGCCCTGTATAAAAACACCTCAGACAGAGTGAGGGCATACAACCACCTCTCTCCATTGTTCCATTCGAGCAGTGGGGTTAGGCAGGGTTGCCCAATCTCACCATTCCTCTTCAACTTTGCCATCGATGACATTCTGGAAACAGCTCTGATGAATGTAAGTAATGGTGGTGTGGATCTGTTGCCTGGAGAAAGACTTCTCGACCTTGAGTATGCGGACGATATTGTCTTACTGTGCGATAATGCCCAAGGCATGCAATCCGCACTTAATCAGTTGGCAATCAATGTCCGTAGGTATGGTATGTGCTTTGCACCTTCGAAGTGCAAAGTACTTCTACAAGACTGGCAGGATTCCAATCCTGTACTCACCCTGGATGGTGAGCAGATAGACGTAGTCGAGAAGTTCGTGTATCTGGGTAGCTGCATAAGTGCTGGTGGGGGTGTGAGTGATGAGATCAATGCACGAATAGTGAAAGCCAGAGCGGCTTATGCCAATCTGGGCCACCTTTGGCGCCTTCGTGATGTTAGTCTGGCTGTAAAAGGCCGGATCTACAACGCGTCGGTGAGAGCAGTTTTGCTCTATGCTTGTGAAACCTGGCCTCTCCGAGTTGAGGACGTTAGACGACTCTCTGTGTTCGATCACCGCTGTCTCCGAAGGATTGCTGACATCCAGTGGCAACACCATGTCAGTAATGCAGAGGTTCGGCATCGTGTGTTCGGGCACAGAGATGATAACTCAATTGGTGTTACCATCTTGAAACACCAACTTCGGTGGCTTGGACATGTTCTCCGAATGTCTTCCCAGAGAATTCCACGTCCTACATTATTTGCCGACTCTGGGACTGGTTGGAAGAAGCGGAGAGGTGGTCAGTGCATGACATGGTGTCGTGGTATGAAAGAAAGTTGCAAAGGACTGGCTTGTATTGGTCCTTCACGACTCCCTGGCTGGGGTCCGAGAGATGGTGCTACACAGTGGCTAGAGACGTTATCAGATATGGCTCAGAATAGAAGCCAGTGGCGATCCTGCTGTAACCTTCTTTTACTTTCTTCATAAAAAGTGGTTGTGTCTGCCTTACCTGAAAGATTTCTTCTGATAGTACCTTTTCGTCGTTACTACCACACTACCTTACTCCAATCTCTTCGTCATTGTTCTCTTTTGCGTTCCTTAGTTTTTTTTCTTTCTACTTCTCTTCGAATTCCATTGTTTTGTGTGGCGCATATATATTGGCGCTCTCTTGTACCAATATTCATGTGTTCAAATAAATAAATAAATAATTAATACTGATAGTTCTCGTTGGATTACCTTCAGTCGGTGCTCAGCTTTCAGTAGTAAGGGTTAGAAATCAGTTCACCAATAATAATCCTTGCAATTTGCAGTACTGTGGAAACCCAATCTCTCATTGAATGCATTAATATAAGGTGCTGATAGTACGTCTTATGAAAGAGAATTTCAATAATTCGCTACGTGCTGCGAGAAACCGGATTCTAGACGTGAGCGATTTTTTCTCGATGTTTGTACTTTCTTAGAATGTCCTCTCACATGATCGGTCGGAGATCGACGAAAAAAGATGAGATATAATTGTACCAATATCATCCTTCAATATACATTAAGCCAGTATTAGACCATTCTGTAGCCTGTGGTAAGATGACGGAAATATGTTGAGGCGTTTCAGTCTGTCTTTGTAAAACAAGCCAGGGTAACGTATTTGGATGCTCTTGCTTGAAAAGTACAATAATCAAAGAGAACTGGACTATGTAGTCGTACCTTGACTACTCCACAACAAATGACTCAACTTCAATGGGTATGAACATGGTCTGCTCCGCCTCTCTTCCTTTCTGTTTCTTACCCTCCTTTTCAGCCCCCTTGATATATGCCACCGAAAACACATGTGAAACGTGTTACTTCGTCCTGCGCCATCGTTAGTGCTCCAGCTGTTCCAGAAGGATATAAGATCGCAATTTCTAGAAGTTCTCGACTGTACGTGGATTTATTCTCGACCATCAGTTGCACGTCGCAACGCAACATCCACAAAGCGCGCAAACTGTCATATTTACGACACGAGTCTAATTAATATTATTTACATTCATATGTGAGAAGAATTATACCACTTTATAGTGAGACTTAGTTTTTGTTTAGTTTATGAAACAGAACAGTTGGGAGGTTATCTTTTTCAAACACACATAGTCTTTCGACATTCAACATAAAATAATAGGAAGTATAATCCCTACACAAAAGAAGGAAGTGAGTGAATACTTGTGCTGTAATGTTCTGACATTTCTAAGATATTTGGGCCCAACTATTAACCAACCGACCTAGGTTGTTCCAGGTCTTAGATCGTGGTTTACTATCATATTCAGATTCTCGTGAAACAGATCTAATGTTACCAACGTCAGACACTTGCAGTAGCAATTTATCTTCGCATCTTCGGTGTACACATAAACACACTTAGTTGCTTTGATAGACACCAACCACCTTTCAGACCAGCCTACCGGATAGTCTTTGTTGGCCTGGAGTGTACATACATCTGCGTACCTCGTTACTCCTTGCCAAATTTCAACATCATCAGCACAACACAGCACCAGGGACTTAACCATACTCGGGAGTTCCTTTAAACATGGTGTAAAAGGTAAATGATCTAGAACATAACCTATTGATACTCTACCAAGTACTGCATTCCAATGTGAGAGTTTGGCATTCATTTTTACTTCATGTTTACGACCTGCCGAAAACTCTCCTATCCAATTTAGATTTCTTCCGTCACATAATGTTCATTCAGTCTCAAACAGAAGATGCTTGGTATGAACCAAGATGTTTGAGTTCGAATGCATGCTGTAGTAAAGCATGTTCTAATACCGTCATCAGGAGCCTACTATGAAAAGAGTTTTCAGATCTTACGACGACCCTATCTGTCCAACTAATATCAGGAGCATTAAAATATCCTAATATCAGGCATCTGTTGTTTTTAATCTATTGCTCAACGTGCTCTGAGAAAAAGTCATCGGGTAAGCAGATTGAAATCTCTTTTCGAAACTACAAGCACTTTTATATAAGACTTCTAGAGAGAATGACATACCCACCCTAGTTTAGCTAGTTCCGTCTTTTTTATTCTGTCTGCCAGAGACATGTCGATCTTCCTCAATTGTCGATGTTTTTGTGAATCCGAGCCCTAATATACAAAAGACGTCGTTGTTCCTCTAACCCTAGGATTATCTTGAGGAGTCTATATGGTCGAAGTCCAACATTGTCGTTGGTCCCTTTACACACTATGACCAATTATTTGATATGAACTCCTTTAGAGTTGTCTGGTGAGATGCTACGAATCATTGCTCTGACCCTTTCTAAATCATGAGCAAGTGAATCAGGACCATTTGGTTCCAACAAATTATTTACAATAATATTCGATGAGATCAAGCTTTCTCCAGCCACTTGGGGTTTAAGTCCAGTCTTGCTTTGGGACTTTGGTGGTGTATTCTGTGACTCAGAACTGGAGTCCATCAATGACTTATCAAAGGAACAGGCACTGTTCTTGGCTTCTTTCACTCATTTGTTTGTTTTCACACTGTCTTCCACTTCTCGCCATTCTAGGCAGCCACACTAGAACTACATGGAACGGTGACAGTTCTATCTGGGTCTCCATGTATGCTTTGCATAGCTGACATGACGGTGGTTAGCAATATCGCTTATATGTGACTGGTATGATTCCGTTACACACTTTGTGATACTGTAGTGAACGCTACTCACAAGGATGTCTCTAAGAAGTGTGTAGCGGAACGCCATATGGAGGTCGCATTTACCATCGAACAGAATGAAGGGTTTCAGTGTGTCAAAAGCACGACGTCGGCAGAGCACTTGAAGGGTAGTCGTGAAGAAAGTTCAGATATCAGAAACCGCCGTAACATGCGAATAGACGATCAAAGGTTATGTATATGTATCACGTAAATACTTTGTAACCTCTCACAGTACATACGATGCTCTTACCTAATATTGTGTTTTACAATACCACTTATCAAGCACAGTAGTTTCGAAGCCAAAGAGTTAGAGTAAAACTTCAAAGCTCTGAGGCATGTGCCGGTCTGCCTTTCTGTTTTATCTTTCTGAGCCTAAATGAGCATCCCTTTGTATGCATTGAGGATGTGAGTTTGTTGTAGGTTGCTCTTCACGCGCAAAGATTGAATCTTGACGTTGAGTCGGGTTTTTCTCCCTTGCCGAGCATGTCTTGTGATAGTCTGTGTAAGTTATGTACCTCTAAAATTTTTATTTTTAATAGTGGGTCTTGAAGATGCCATGGATATGTTTCTGCAGTCAGTGGACTTGGTAATTTTAATGTTTTGTATAATCCTTCGTCCAGTCTAACGATATTGATATGGGTGAATTCGACTTTGCATTAAAAGCTTCAGAGCTCCTCGAAAACTCAGACAGTGATAGTGGAATAAGCGGTTTGTCTGTTTTTATGATAGTCATGTCTTTAAACAGTTGCAGGGGAAAAGCAACCAATAAACCAAGAAACTAATGTACGACCCAACGACACTGGTACTGATTATGTTCTGACTGATGTTGTCGATGCTACAACACGTGTGTCCGACATTTTGCATGCAAATGACAAACGTTGCGGGATCCAGGTGAATGGTTTGTCAAAGAGCATACCTATCAATAAACCGGGCTCTAACTCTACTATTCCTAAATTTAAAAGGATTATTATCAACTCTGTTGGTGAAAAACGTCTACTTCACAGCTCTTTGGTAAAGCCATACTTTTCAGCTTTCTATCCTCAGAGCGTAAATTCTGGTGTTGGTCACAATTTGGCTGTACCAAATGTATTGCAGCCGTCGGAGCATTCTGGTGTCACAGTAAAAACTGTGCCTTCTAGTGTTACTCCGTCGTTTGAGTCCTCAAACACATCTCCGGGATCTTCTGTGAATTCACCTACTAAATCAAGCATGGATTGCCGCTGTAAGTTCTATGCAGGACATGGATAAATATTTTGCCTGGACATTTAGGGCGATAATATTGTTTTATACAAAGAATGCTTTAAAAACATCTAAAACAAGTCACTTATAATTTAAAGGTGCCTTTGATTTCTAAGGTCACAATTCAAACCCCCTAAGTAACTATGAGCAAGTTTTAATGAAATTAACTCACCATTTTATGGGCGAATTACATCTTGTTTGATACATGATGTGTTTTAACAAACTTAATATGGATCTTGTGAACCCATACTGGTGCTTATGAAATACCAAAAGGTTAAACCTGGTAAAGAGTTTCAGAGGGACTGATCGATCTCAGTTTCCCCCAATGCATATATATATATATATATATATATATATATATATATATATATATATATATATATACTGAATAAAATGTCCTTAACAAGCCATTTTACTTTTAAATAAGAAATAAACAATATCTCATACCCCCCACTCGATAAGCTGTAAGAAATTTAGTTAATGTGTATTTGGTTCGAGTCCAATTATATCCGTTGTTTTCTGTCCTAAGTCCTATTTAGTCGTCTGGTATTCATGTAACTGAAGATGTAGGGTTACTGATTCACATACTTTCCATTGTAAAAGGATTGATCCACCTAGAATGTACAACGAATAAAATCAGTAAGTGGTCAACACTATCTCAAAACCTTGAGAGCAGCAGAGTGAAATCCCACCTACAAGACACGAAATTTATGTACATTTGAATGCTGATCAGTACATATGTATTCAAAAATCCTATAAAGTGAATACTCCAATATGTTCTTTTTCTTTGGATTTGCCCTTAAGCTCCAGTTAGTCAGTCAGTCACAACGCAGAGCCTGTACTTATGTACATGCCCCCAAATGCCCTGGTACGGCCGAGAGTGGGGAGAGTCCGCTCTCCCTCTCGAAATGCTCTCACATGGCCACGCGTATACAGCCTCTGCCAGGGAAGTCCTACTCATTGCCTTCTCGTGGCGGGTTGTTTACGAAAATGAGAGGATGAAAAGCTAATGTCCGGCGCTTTAACCGGAGTCCAAACCAATGGTGCACACAGGCTCCAGTATCCTGCGGGAACAAATGGCGTATGAACCAATTGTTGGTCACTGGCTTCCATGGGACTGCATCTCCTCACGATGCCCCACTGACCTTTAGGTCAAAGGTTCGGGGTGTGGCCCCCCTATGGAAACCACCTGCTTCGGTTTGGGCACCCGGGCAGTATCACAGCCTTCACACATATCGGATGAGTTTTGTGTGGCGCATATGTATTTGGTGCCTCTTTGTACCAATATCTATGTGTTGAAATAAATAAACTTATGTACATCGGTTCATTTCGCCGTAAACCATTAGTACACCGAGATGAAATGGTCAGGTCGAATCCCAGAATAGTAGAGGTAGTAACAGTATCAATGGTAATTGGAAACATTCGGTATCGAAGAAACAACTCGAAAATATAACTTAGTGAAATAAGAACAAATAAGGTTCTGAGGAATTTAGAATCTTACAATTTAGGTGGACGGAAAATGGATCCACTTGCGCCATTGCAAGCGACTGAGCCATGTCATTTAAAGTTTCTATCCATTAGTTGCGATAATTACGCGGACTCCAGCAAGGTTGTTTGTGCCTACTAACGTATCGAAATCCAACTGTCAGTGGCTTCGTAGACTGATGCCTTGGTTTGGCCACTCCTAGTTGAGCTCCAACTAAATATCAGGTTACAATGCAAGTTAAGACTATTGAAATAATACCATTACAATATTCTCCAGTGGTTACTACTAGAAGATTTCTGTCTTTACCACCCCAAGCATGTAATTTTTAACTGTTACGTTACACTCCCAAGACCAACTTCATTTGGAAGCCAGTGACCAACAATTGGTTCATACGCCATTTGTTCCCGCAGGATACCGGAGCCATACCAGGGCATTTGAGGGTATTAATGTTTAACTTCAGTCAAATCACGATTCTGCCCAACCCTTATTCATTACCTGCGGTTATTAAATATCTTACACCCGGCACGGTTAAACCTCACTGTTCACCTCTCCGCACTAAAACTCCTCGATTTGCATTCCGAAGCTGGCTGGTTGTTCTAGAGGTTGATCGTTCACACACAAGACCACAGGTCCTGGGCTGGGATCCCAGGTACGTGGTTGTAGATGCAAACTGCTTAGGAGTCCCATGTCACGACGAAATGGCTGTTCATTGCTTTCAATAGCTCAGTAGTAGTCTGGTTATAACCAGTTCATGATTTAAACTGAAAATTTTATAATTTTCACAAATGGCCTAAACGCAATTTTGTCAAGTCCACTTACTTTTGCGTTATGTTATTTTGAGTCAGTTAAAGAGGGAACCTAAACATCATATGGATATTTTACAAGATGTCTCTGTCGGAAATCAGGCAATGCATACGTAGTTGGAATGGTTATTTAACCCCGTCCTTAAGGTTTTCTATTTCCTAGACGACTAGCTACGCTATTCTGTTTAAAATACTTAACATGTACTATTATCTTTTCTTATAAGCATTAGACGAGTTTTTTTCCGCAGTAAATGGGGTAACTGAAACTTATGAATACTGTAGGAACGCGACTCCTTCAGATCCTTCACTATGGCAGCATTCAGTAAGTTTTCCATTTTTTACAGTTTGTTACTTTTAGTAAATTTGAAATATTTAATATTAAAATTGCTTAGGGGAAAGACATTTTAGTTATCCCCTCTCGCTCTACTGTTTTAATATAGAAACTTGTAGTTAAGGAATTAAAGGAAAGAGATAAAAATGCATTTTTTCTAAATTTCTTGTTGGCTAATTTAATATTTAGCATGTTACATTTATTGTTACTTAAGTATTTCTGTGTATTGAAAAACTGCAGTTGTCGAAATATATTCATACGACCTCTCACTTCGTTTTCTTATGAAATTGGAAACGTGCGATAATGCATAGCATAACAAATAAATTCACTTAAAATCTTTAAAATATTCCTCATCCGTAACCTATGTTACTTCGAATCGACATATTACAATTTAGTTCTATCTTATCTTTTTGTTTACTTACTACCATGTGTTCTTAAACCATAAAAACGAAATATCATCAGCATTAAGCTTTTTAAAATCCAAATCTAGTTTATTAAGATAAATAAATTGCTTATAACTTAACAAATGTAGGTAGCTTCGGTGTTGTTTAATTTCATCTCTTAGCGAGTGTGAATATAGACTAAGTTTATATAACAGCTATTTTATAATTACTATTCTGCTGGTTTGTCAGTAGAAATTTTAAACTAAATGACAGTAGTTTTTAGATGGATAAGTCTTAGCAACTTCAAACGTTTTACAGTTCTTTCAGTTTAAAGTAATAGCTATAAATTCCCGAGAGTTGATTACGCAATAATATGATTTTCGTGACTGGTAATATGTTTAAAGTTTGATATTTGTTGGTTTGTAAAAGTTTTCAGACTATTTTCAGTAGAATTTTAGGTGATTCTGGTGTGGAATTTGTAGTTATACCGGAAAACTGGTAAACAGGTTTTAATTTATGTGACTATTATAATTACCACTGATATACTTATTGATAGCTCACATTTTCTATTTTATCAGATTTATCTTGGAAGTTAGTTCCCAAATGTATGTGCTTGTGTGAATAAAGTGTCCATTTTTCCATGCAAATTTCCAGATGTTTACTCTTGGCCAAAAGTATTATATTTCAATATTTATTTCATCTGTTTATTTCAGTGAACAAAGCTAATATTGAATTTCTGGTAATAGTTGTCCACAGATCCATTAATCGCTTTCTAATGTTTGGTCTTATATCACTACCAACTAAGGTAACTGGTAGTAAAGAGTTTCGATACTAACATAGATTACTCAAAAATTCATTAACATAGATCTAGTTAGTTTGTCTTTAAGTTCGTAGAAATAATCAAGTAGTTACTGAAAGCTCATGTTTAGGTGAACATCTATTTCTTCACACCGTTATTTTACAATACTGACAATAAAGTAATCCTATCAACGCTACTAGTTAACGGTTGCTATGACTATGTAAGTCGAAGTTGATCTATGATTTGGACGAAATCCTTGTGTGGTGTCTGTTTGCAAGATATAAACCTATGTTCTCTTTACTGTAGTTATTTCCTTGTATTCATCAGGGCTCCTCATCATTTATTTTTATACAGAAAAATATCCCGAGCACATCATATCCTGATTCTGTTTTCGGGAGTAGTTCTCAATTCTCACCAACGTCATTTCTTGATGTGCAAGATTTTTTGGGACCTAACGAATCCATCATAACACAGACCGACTTGGAACGCATACGTAAAAAGCAAGAAAGAATGGTGAAAAATAGACAAGCAGCATGTCTAAGCCGGTTACGTAAGAAGGAGGTAATTAACCTTGTACTATGTTCATACTTTATAGTATTGAAATTCCAGATAATTTGAGTGTGTTCGGATTTTAATCCTACTGATCATTATCACTTCTAAGTAATTATCAGTTCTAGTTATTATGGCTGGAACGGTTTCGCAAAACTAGTAATTTTTATGAATCCAAAAATGCATTGTGCTCAAACTAGGCTGATGAACATAAGGGTCCGCCTACAACAATTGAAAAACCGTTTTTCCAAGTCAGTGGTGTACATAAGCTTTAGGGTTCTAAATGAACGAGTAGTGTACAAGCTTATTCCGGTCACAGACTACCATGCCATTGCTTCTTTTGATATTTCTGTAGTGCCTCGATGACTATACTTTTAATCCAGATGCCTACGCAATGATCGCGAACACTGGTGAGTAGCGAAAGCAAGAGTGATGAAAAAGGCAGCGGCAATAGGTAACAACAGACAACTGTTCAGACTTGTCAAGGAAATTGGTATTAGGAATCCAATTGTTAGCGAAAATATATCAGGAAAAGACGTACATATTATTCAATTTCAATTCAGGTGACTGGATCGATGGGCAGAACACTTTAGGGATCAGTTCAACTGGCCTTCAGTCACATTTTGGTTTCCCACGATCTCCAGTCAACCTGAATGGCAAGTTGATGTAGGTCCTCCATCTCTTTACGAAGTTGAAAAAGCCATAGGAAATCTGAAGCGAGACATAGCAGCAGCCCCTGACAGGTTTACTCCTGAGATTTTTAAGGATGGTGGTTCAGTATTAGCAGTGAGGTTAACTGAGGTCTTAGGTAGAATTTGGAAATTGGACGTAATCCCATCTGACTGGTCTCAATCACTGATTGTGCTAGTCTATAAGAAAGGACGAAAGTCCTCTTGTGACAATTACAGAGGAGTCAGTTTGACTAATATAGTGTCTAAAATATTAGCTTCAATAATACTTCGACGCCTAACTAAAACTCGTTAAGAGCAGACTAGAGAAAATCAGGTTTCCGACTTGAACGTGGTTGTATAGACCAGATATTCACACTACTTCGGGTCCTAGAACACAGACACATATTCAGACGCCCCACAATGGTAGTATTTCTCGACCTTAGGGCAGCATTCGACTCTGCTGATCGCGAGGTTCTATGGCAGAGTTTGACACTGAAAGAAGTACATTAATCTTATAAAGGTCTCTATTCAAACGCAACTAGTCGAGTGAGAGCTTATGGCGAACTGTCATCAGAATTGATCACCTCAAGTGGTGTTCGTAAGGGCTGTCTACTCTCACCATTCTTGTTTAACTTTGCCATTGACGTGCTTTTAGAGATAACATTTTCCTCATCTAAATTTCCAGGAGTTGTAATTTTTCCGGGAGATTCACTTGTTGACTTAGAATATCGATGACATAGTTTTATTTGGTGAAGACGCTGATAAAATACAGAGTCTTCTGACCACTCTAAGCATCAATGCAAGCATGTTCGGGATGCGATTCTCCCTCTCGAAATGCAAAATGTTGCTTCAGGATTGGGTTGCATCGACACCTGAACTAATGATAGGGAGTGAAGTGGTTGGGCGTGTCGACCACTTCCCTTATCTTGGGAGTCTCGTCAGCCCTTGTGGTCTGGTGTGTGACGAAATCTCAGCACGGATACAGAAGGCTCGACTAGCTTTTACCAACTTGCGTCATTTATGGCGTAGGCGAGATATCCGTCTATCAACCAAAGAACGTGTTTACTGAGCAGCAGTTCGTTCCGTCCTACTTTATGGCAGTGAAACATGGCTGATAAGAATAGAGGTTATTCGTAGGTTACTAGTATTCGATCATAGGTGTCTTCTAAATATTGTTCGTATATCCTGGGACCATCGAGTAAGTAATGTAGTTGTTAGGAAACGGGTACTAGGTAAGGATGGCAAATCAATTGATGAAGTAGTGAAACTTCATCAGTTGAGATGGCTGGGATATGTGTTACGTATGTTCAACCACCGACTGTCCCGACGAGCGATGTTTTATGGTGTAGGAATAGGTTGAAAGAAATCTAGGGGGGGTCAGACCAAAACATGGCACAAATCCATGAAGTCACTGACAAGTGGACTGAACCGTGTTGGTAGTTGTAGACGACTTGGTTGGGATACGCGAGACGATAGCAACCGATGGTTAGAGACCTCGAATGACATGGCTCAAAATTGTCTGCAATGGCGCAAGTGCATCCACTCTTTGTGTTCTCCCAAATTCTAATCTTCTGAATTCTTCATGTCCCTTTCTCTTTTCTCTTTCCAAATTTATTTCACTGGATTATACTCCTTGAATAACATCTTCAAACCCTGATCTTTCCAATGACGGCTTAAACTTTTACTACCTCTACCACTATGGGATTTGAATAGACAATCGTGTCTCTGTGCTAATATGGTATGGTAACTTGAACTGATGTACGTACGTACGAAGTTCTACGTTGTTATTAACCGACTGACTGACTATCAGTTTATGGTGACTTTCGTACACTCAACTTCAACGTATCTTAGCTGTGCTGAATTATCCACAATGTATTCTATTCATGTATTTTATGTGTATTTTAGGTCATAATTAGTTAGTTGATTCCCAATCCATTTTTTCTTGTCGTAATTAATTCACTGTGATTCTATGTTCAATAACAATTACTCATTTGGGAAAATCCTATAATTGATATTTATTGCGTTGATATGTGATTGAATTAACTGGAATGTAGATTAATGCTTCTGGGGTATCATTCAAGAAAGTTTCTATACAAACTATACTTCATACCCCGGTTGGGGAAAAGAGAAAAAGAGGATAAAAGTAGTTTCCTTCACCTTATTGAAGTTTCAGTTGCACAGTAGTAGCTTATTTCATGAAAGTATCACTCTTATTTCACAATATTATCACTTCATTTTGCTATTTCTGAAGAGATTATAAAATCGGCGAACGGAACGAAGAATCAGCTACACAATGAAAAAACGGCTTAGCTATTCTAATGCGTCCCAGCCCCGCTAACTAGAGGGAGGAGTTTAGGTTCAGATGAGGGAAAGTATATTCTACAAGCAGTTAGAAGCACGAACAAAAACAAGCGCACAACTCAAGCGTATATATACAGCATAGAAATCTCCCTGGGAATCGTCACAAAATAACATGTTTAAAGAGCAAACCAACCAATTACATTTAGGGTCCTCCTAGGTGGGTAATACAATCTGAAGGTAAAAATGGACATCTTTAGTGCGAAAACTAGAAATTCGGATTTCCAAAATAAAATTACAAAAATAAGACGTTTACTAAGTGAGTTTTGGGGATCTAACATCCCCGATACATTCGGATGGTGCATTATTTTAACACCTCATTGTACCAGGATTTATTTAAGTTAGGTAACCTTACTGGTTATCAGTTACGGTGGAGCTGTTGCATTCATATCGTTTTTTGCTCAAATTTTTAGTTTTGTCTCATTCCGTATTTCCTATCTTTCGATTTTATTCCTTCCTGTCAAATTATATTTCCTATATTTCAATTCTCATTGTAATTTATGTGATCTCCACTTCATCACAGTGGAGGAATTTGACATAATGAAGACCACTTAATTGCGCTAGCTAAAGACTGGAAAATTTTTAGATGCATTGCTTGTCATTTTGGAACGTCATTTTGTGAAACCGCTTTGTATCAGATTGGAGCTCCAAATCATGATTTCCATTTTATCGTCTTTTTTAATTATAAACAAGCCCATTGTTTATGCACCCGAATTTCAGTCATGGATGCCCATCCACCTTCTGTTTTTAGTACCTAGAAAGGTTAGAAATGAAGTTCGAGCAGCTAAAACGTGAAAACCTTTTACTTTGGCGCCAGAATGAAGAGTGGCGTGCACGATGTTTCCGTTTGGAACGTTGTATTGAAGATTTACAGTCACGACTTCCAAGCTCTATAAATTCAGAAAACCTAATTGTTAAATCTCAGTCGTTTGACGTAAGTTCAGACGAGACGACAAATATTTCTTCACACCTTGACAAACAAATTACTCCTCGAGAGGCTTGTTGCAAAACAGTTTCTGTGCACACATTAGCACCACTCAATGAAGTCACTGTTGGTTTCAAATCAGATACTCCACTTAGTCGTCTTCCAAGGTTGTCTGATCTTGGAAAAAGCAAGACAGTTTCAATTCAGCATTTAAAAAATTGCCAAAACGTAGCTCCCACTCAAAAAACGAGTAAGTTTTACTATTTAAAGAATCAGATTTTATTTCCACGGACATTTTCCATATAAAAGCTTTTAGTGATCTTATTTTGTTTATTATTTAGCTTTAAGACACTTATTTCGTGCCTTCGGTGATTGAGAAGCACTATAACATCCAAAATAGCCTCCTTCAAATTACCTTGGAGTTCATCACATCACACACATAACATATTAACCGATATTTCATATCTGCCAACATTTTTTATCCAGATTAGATTTACCGGTAAACACAATTCGGGAAAGTAATTTATTTGTGCGATTTTGACTTATTAGAAAATCTATATCAATAAAGAGTACGTCAGCGCAATATCACTATTTAAGACTGCTGTTGATGGAGGAGCATTCACCGTCCACTGTGTATAGGTGATATATATATATATATATATATATATATATATATATATATTCATTCCGCAGAAATATTGAAGTAATAATGTTACATCTACCTACAATCAGCTATATTCATAGATATGTATAATGTCCGGGTATTGTATTACGTTGAAAGTCAAATCTTTTTTCCCTAATTCTTGTTTCAGCTTACTTTACGAGTGTAAATTCCCCAAGAACGTTCAAATGGGATAGTTCTTCAAAGAAATTGTTACTTACAAGTAAAGTTGATGTTGAATCGCATTCACAGTCTCTATCACATCAGTCTCAACTCAAATCAATTACTAAAACCTTGATTTCTCCTCAGCGAATCGTTCCTACCGTCAGTCATCGATCTAAAGTAATTGCTACCACAAGTTTACTGGTTATGTGCGGTCTGTTAGCCGTGAATATAGTTCCTTTATCAGATTTATATTCTGGACTAGGATTCGTATCTTCACATAGCATGTCTTATGATGGTGGCTCCCTTGCTGCTGGAAAATTTGGTAATTTTTATTGCTAAAAATAAATTGTTTGTAACCCCTATTAGAAATGTGTATGTAATTTGTTATAGAAATTATATTTGTAAAACTATCAAAACCTTCGTAAATTTTCTTTATATTTTTCATATATATATATAAACCAAATTTGCAATATCATCCTATCACTTAAAAGATGATTATTATTATTTATTATTATTTGAACACATAAATATTGGTACAAGAGAGCGCCAATATATATGCGCCACACAAAACAATGGAATTCGAAGAGAAGTAGAAAGAAAAAAAACTAAGGAACGCAAAAGAGAACAATGACGAAGAGATTGGAGTAAGGTAGTGTGGTAGTAACGACGAAAAGGTACTATCAGAAGAAATCTTTCAGGTAAGGCAGACACAACCACTTTTTATGAAGAAAGTAAAAGAAGGTTACAGCAGGATCGCCACTGGCTTCTATTCTGAGCCATATCTGATAACGTCTCTAGCCACTGTGTAGCACCATCTCTCGGACCCCAGCCAGGGAGTCGTGAAGGACCAATACAAGCCAGTCCTTTGCAACTTTCTTTCATACCACGACACCATGTCATGCACTGACCACCTCTCCGCTTCTTCCAACCAGTCCCAGAGTCGGCAAATAATGTACGACGTGGAATTCTCTGGGAAGACATTCGGAGAACATGTCCAAGCCACCGAAGTCGGTGTTTCAAGATGGTAACACCAATTGAGTTATCATCTCTGTGCCCGAACACACGATGCCGAACCTCTGCATTACTGACATGGTGTTGCCACTGAATGTCAGCAATCCTTCGGAGATAGCGATGATCGAACACAGAGAGTCGTCTAACGTCCTCAACTCGGAGAGGCCAGGTTTCACAAGCATAGAGCAAAACTGCTCTCACCGACGCGTTGTAGATCCGGCCTTTTACAGCCAGACTAACATCACGAAGGCGCCAAAGGTGGCCCAGATTGGCATAAGCCGCTCTGGCTTTCACTATTCGTGCATTGATCTCATCACTCACACCCCCACCAGCACTTATGCAGCTACCCAGATACACGAACTTCTCGACTACGTCTATCTGCTCACCATCCAGGGTGAGTACAGGATTGGAATCCTGCCAGTCTTGTAGAAGTACTTTGCACTTCGAAGGTGCAAAGCACATACCATACCTACGGACACTGATTGTCAGCTGATTAAGTGCGGATTGCATGCCTTGGGGATTATCGCACAGTAAGACAATATCGTCCGCATACTCAAGGTCGAGAAGTCTTTCTCCAGGCAACAGATCCACACCACCATTACTTACATTCATCAGAGCTGTTTCCAGAATGTCATCGATGGCAAAGTTGAAGAGGAATGGTGAGATTGGGCAACCCTGCCTAACCCCACTGCTCGAATGGAACAATGGAGAGAGGTGGTTGTATGCCCTCACTCTGTCTGAGGTGTTTTTATACAGGGCTTTTAGGATGTTAATAAACTTCTCAGGCACACCCTTCTTCAATAGACAATCCCAGAGAACAGTCCTATCCAACGAATCGAAGGCAGCCCTGATGTCGAGAAACACTACGATTGTTGGCCTTTGAAAAGTATGGCGGTGTTCTAACATCTGGCGGAGGGTGAAGATACGATCAATACATCCTCGACCAGAACGAAACCCAGCCTGCTCCTCGCGAGTCAATCTCTCTCGGGTTTTGAACAACCTACAAAGAATGACGGAAGCCAATAGCTTGGACGCAATCTGAAGTAGACTTATCCCCCGATAGTTGTTACAAGAACGACGTGAACATTTTTTAAAGATAGGGACAACTATCGACTCATTCCATGACGTTGGTACACTCTCTAGTTCCCAAACCTTTGTAAACAGCGTCGTCAATTCCTTAGTCAAAAAGTCACCACCATCTTTAAAAAGAGCCGGAGGTAAGTCATCTGGGCCAGGTGATTTGTAACGCTTCAAGAGCTGGAGTTCCTTGCGGACTTCCTCCTCGTTTGGTGGATCAGTCGTCACCGGCCATGGAGGGCAGGACAGTCTGACCGATGTTGCCGGAGCAGCAGGCCAGTTGAACTGCCCTTCGAAAAATTCTGCCCATCGTCCAAGACGTCGATGGATGTTAGTGATTGGCATCCCATCATCCTCGCAGATTGTTTCACTCACACCAGACTTCTTGCTGCCAGTGACTCGGATGAGTTGGAAGAGCTTCCGGTAGTTACCAGATGCAGTTGCTGCTTCCAGCTCATCAGCACGCTTCGACCACCAGGCTTTTCGGTACTTACGCAAGCTTTGTCCGATTTCCTTACGTAACATCCTTCGTTTATGGTCAAACTCACGGTCACCCGGAGTAGGCCGACGGGCTTCAATGAGTTGTAAGGAACCTGCAGAAACCCAGTGCTTATAAGCGGGACGTTTCGCAAACCCACAACTGACTGTTCCCGCCATTTTCATGGCGTCATGCAATTGCAACTAATGCTCATCTATACTTTTCGGTGGAGTGGTAGCTAGCCTAGAGGCTAGCTCGGTTCGATACTTACTTGCAACAGAAGTTGCAACCAGCTTGCTAATATCAATCCGTTGATGGTGGTCACTTCTTTGTCCACTGAAAAGTAAGGCAAGATTGGCGCAGACCAAGGCATGGTCAGAGTCCAGATAGGTACTCCAAAAGGAGCGGCAGTCTTGTACACAACCACGCCAGCGGTAGCTGATCGCGATGTGATCAATCTGAGTCCAGGCTTGAGATGCAGAGGGAGGACGCCAGGTGGCACATCGGCGATGACTGTGCCGAAAGTTAGTGCTAGCCAGAAACAGGTTGTGGTCTGTGCAAAGTTGCAGTAGACGGTCCCCCGTTATCTGACCTGCGACCAACGAGTCCCCATCGGCCACCTAAACGACTCTCTTCTGTGCCTAGACGCCCGACCTGAGCATTCAAGTCTCCGGCTAGTACTACAATATCTGTCGAACGCACTTTCTGGAGAAGAACAGATAACTGGTGATAAAACTCATCCTTGATTGCATCCGGGCTGCAATCTGTCGGGGCATAGGCGGAGATGACGAAAAGACATCGTTTCTCACGCCGATTTCTTCTCACTTTGATGGAACTTTCTAATCTAACAGCACATAACCGACTGTTAATGGGGATCCAATCGATTAATGCTGCCTCAGCTCTAGCGCTTAGTGCGACACCAACGCCAGCAAGACCAGACGAAGATGCCACAGGGTCCCCGGATAAACGCACGTAAAACAAGCTTTTCGAAGTGACAGATGGAGATCGAATTTGTAGTACTTCGCCAGAGTCTTGAATACGGGTCTCGGATAGACAACACACGTCGATATTAAGACTTTCCAAAGACATAGCCAGCCCTATCTGTTGTCCGACCTGCATAAATGTGCGAACGTTGAAGGCAGCCAGTTTGAATGGTGCACGTGGTTTCAGAAAATCTGCTTCAGTCCTCGTATTCGGTGGTAACATACAATTTTCAACCGGACAGTGACTCGAGAACGTTTAGATACAGTCGGAATTCCACCAAAGACGAGCCGCTGTATAAGTATAAAAGAGGGTGAATAATGTGGAAAATAATAATAATAACAATAATGACAATAATAGTAGTAGTAATAATAATAGTATTAATAATGACAATAATTGTATTGATAATAATTTGAATCAATTGTTTGTTTTTCAAAGCGAGAAAGGTAATTTCCATAGGCATAAAGAGTTCATCAATTTGTGTGTGGGCTGTGATACTGCCCGGGTGCCCAAACCGAAGCAGGTGGTTATCTTAGGGGGCCACTCCCCGAGCCTTTGACCTAAAGGTCTAACCCACAAGGCAGTGGAGCATCGTAAGGAGATGCAGTCCCATGGTAGCCGGTGACCAACGATTGGTTCATACGCCATTTGTTCCCGCAGGATACTGGAGCCCATGTGCACCATTGATTTGGAATCCGGTTAAAGCGCCGGACATTCGCTTTTCGTCCTCTCATTTTCGTAAACAACACCATCGCCACGAGAAGGCAATGAGTAGGACTTCCCTGGCAGAGGCTGTATACGCATGGCCGTGTGAGAGTATTTCGAGAGGGAGAGCGGACTCTCCCCACTCTCGGCCGTACCAGGGCATTCAGGGGGGCCAAAGATGATATGTCCCTATATAGACGATGCGGTGCAAGAAAATTTCCATTCGATTGTGTTGTTATCTAAAGCTGTGGAGTCATTAGCAGTTATCTGACACAATTAGTAGGATGTTGTAAAATAGGAGTTACATCATTAACTAAGTGTTGTAAAGCTCAACAAAAATAGTTGCGTAATGGTTTGGACGTTGACCTGGGAGCTGGAAATAGGTCTAGTCGTAATACGATAAGATAATATGCATAGCATAAATGACCCAAAGAAGAAACGAGTAGATGTTAATAGCGATTTACCAAGTATAAGTATTCAGCAGTGCGGTCAAACTAATAATCAAGCAAAATAACTGTAAACTTCACAAACTAGCATGGTAATGATACATCTACGTGAAATTCAACTGCCCTGTGTCATCACACATTCTTCGAAACAGTATAGCAACTTGAATTCTGTACTATTTTCTAGCCGGAATAAGAATTTACTAAAAATTCGTCTCAATAATATATATCAACGATTCGCTCTAGTTGCTGGCGTGAACGATTTGTCTTCTAGCTAAGTTATTCCGGATGCGCTCAACTTCAGACAAGAGGAAGGATCATCCTGTATTTAAGTAAATGAAATCATTGAAAATAAAATATTCAAGGGTATTGGAAAGTGTTGTAATAATATCACTGGGTGAAAACTGTTGATTTCAATCGTAACCTCTAGTCCTTTAATCATTACAATCTGTTAAGCTTGTTCCTCTGGATGCAGTTATTTCTTGTCGTCAACTATTTAATAATGGATTTCGTTGGTTGTTTTTACGACTTCTCGGTGTTTAGTTTATTACCTTTTCTGTTTTTCAAAAATTTAGCTTTTGGTTATCCCGGGCTATGGTCATCTGTGCCACATTTTCCAACTGGGCGACGTCTTTTATTAAATATTCCACCTACACAAGAAGATGTTTTAACAAATGATAATTCACTGCAGAACGCCTCAAATAATGAATTTCTATTTTCTGGAAAATTTCCAACTAACCATTCTACTAACAACTGTGGTCCTAATAAAAACATGAGTTGCGCAGAGAATTCCTTACTTACGGATTCCAGACAAATTTTTCAAGTTAGTTGCCATTCTGATTTATTGTTATTACTCTGTAGATATGAACTGAAAGCTTGTTCATATGTTTTTGTTTTTTCTTTGTTTTTCATATTTCATCCAAATTTTTTTACTGCTTATAAATTTTAGTCTGCAATCATCGTTGTTCATATTTCTCATGTGGACTTACGTTATTCCTACAAATTTCAAATACTAGTCGTCAGTGTAAACGTTACTAAAGGGGGTTATGAATGACATGCCAGTCTTACTGTTTTTCCTTATCCTAAATTGCAATTTTCCTACTCCGCTGTTGTCAACATTGGACTTAAAAGAAACCTTTTTACAACTATTATGATAGATATTAATATAATATAAAAATTCATTCAATCCATTCCTCTATAGTATTCGCTACCTCGAAGTGGTGGTCGGGCTTGTCTATCGTAATGAACCGACCGAATTTATATATCTAAGATAGGGTCTGGGATATGAACGTAATCCCATCTGACTGGTTTCGATCTCTGGTCTTGCCAGCCCACAATAAACTACAACACTCTCCTTGTGATAACCACAAAACAATCAGTTTAACTAATATAATTTCTAAAGCATTAGCCTCAATAGTCATCCAACGTTCAATTAGGGCTTGTGAAGTGCGAATTCGGAAAAAACCAGGCTGGTCTCAGACCTCGGTAGGGATACGTAGACCAGATATTTCCCTTCTGTCATTTTCTGAAACACAAACATACCTACCGACCCTCATCCTCAGTTTTATTTGTGGACTCCGTAAATTGTTAAGTCTTATGTCAAAGTTTATCATTGAAATTCTTATACTCGAACATTACTGGTCGGGTGAGAACATAACGAAGTGTCTCTGAAATTTATTACTTCACGTGGTATTCATCGGGGTTGTCTAATTTCCTCACTTTTATTGAAATTTGTCACAGAAATTCTTTTTCGAGATGGAAATCTTATGATTTGATTTGTCAGGAATCAGTCTTCTACCAGAAAATTCACTTATTGACTTGGAATATGCAGATGATATAGTCCTGTGTAATGAACAGGTTAAAAAAAGCTTTATTCTGATTACCTTGAGTAACAACCGTATCAGGATGCGTTTTCCTCCTAAATCCAAAGTGTTACTTCATGTATGGTTTCGGTCCACGCCTGAACCAATGCTAATGAGTGAAGTTGTTGAGCGCGTCGATCACTTATCTTAGAAGTCTTATCACTCAGCGGGTTGGTGTCTGATAAAATCTCAGCACGAATCAAGAAAGCTCATCAGCTTTTTCCACTTATGATGTAATTGAGATACCATTTTCTATTACCACTAATACTGTTACTACCTCTACTACTGTGGGACTTTACCTAACACCTTAGTCTCGTGCTAATGGATTATATCAACTTGAAGCAATATAAACAGTGCCATGTTCTACTTTGTATATAAATAACTGAACAATTAATTGGTAACTGCGAATATTAGGATTCATCTATTCTCCTTGAATTTCGCGCTTTTTCCTTAATCACTCATCTTTATTTTCATAAGACGTCTTATATATAGTTGTTTATCTGACGTTTTAGGGTTGGATTAAAAGGCATGCTGTATCTACCAGTAATCAGTCCCGTGTATACAGGTTACTACTCACTTCATCTCTTCATAGTCTAAACGCGTTTGAACACCGACAACATATAGTCAGTTCATCAAAACTTTCACAACAAAATGTATTACATACTCAAAAACCTGCTTTCTTACCTATGACACATTTAAATAATTCATCTTCCAAATCGATTTCGCCGTCAAGAAATGAGTCATTAGAACGCTTTTCGGCTAGGAAAATTAACGGTTCTATTCTGAATGTTACAACTGAATCATTACCGCCCAACTTTCCTCCACCTCATCGTCCTCCAATATGGAAAAAATATGATTTGCAGGTACTTCATTTTATACATAAATCCCATTTGTGATTATTCCTCTTATCTTGCATAAATAAAAACGTTCTGTTACAGTAGCTCATGATCACTGTTATATTTCAGTAAATTATTGTCAATACATTAAGAATAGGCGATTCGATTAAAATACTGTTATATAGAAGCTTCTAAACAGTAGTCACTTAGGGTCAACATTAGTATTAATTCGGTAAATATAGTAATATGTTAACTGCAAATTGACATGTTAAACTTTCTAACTGCTTGAATAATAGTTGCTTTAGTTATGAGTATACTCTTCTAGTAGTCTTCTTCGATTAATATTTTTTTAATTAGAATTGTTATGCATTATCGTCATCTCAGAAAAGAGTGTTTTTGGCCTGTAAAATAAAACAAGGTTACATTATTAGCTGTCAATTTCCTTTTCAAATTTAATAAAAAGGGATAATTCATATTGTGGTTTTAGTTACTTTAGTGAGATTTTTGTAATCACATGGTCCGTTTATACAAGCATCTGGTTGCTAGTCATTATAAGCCAGTCATAAAAAAGTCAAACGAGATATTAAGTCATACGTGTTTATCGCTTCTAACTACTGATTCGCGTGTATTTCAAGTTATTTGATCCTTTTATATTATCGTGTATAGTTGTAGGCTAACGTTTTACGGTTATCTTATACTGAATAAAATAGAAAAGTGCAAAATGAGTGAAACAAGTATTCCATACTAATAATTTCGTAATGAATGCTCATAGTTTTAGACGGGACTAATGTTTTTAAGGCCTAGGATGAATACAATCGTAATTCAAATCTAGGGAGAGTTAACAGTGTCTTTTCCGTTTGTTTAGACACCTGTTTGTCTTTTAAAAATTATAATGATTTTCTAAAAATTCACTGATAGCAAATAAATTTTTCCGCAAATTTGTTGATTTGTTTTGTTCAACGTAGACGCATTTCTACTATCGAATCTCGTATTGAAATTGTTTCATTCATCCTCTTTTGTAACTGCTTACTCATCAATCACTTCCCACATCATCTCAAATTATTTAGGATAATATCAATGAATCTGATGTATGTTGTCTTTGAAAGTTCTCTTTCACTAACCACTAATTGTCCCTTGAATGTTTCATTTAACTACTTTCGGTTTCCTAATGAGTTTGTTTAAAGTATGATTTCATGAACAATTTGAATGCTTTGTTAATTGTTAATTATGAAGCCTGTTTTGTTAATCAGTTTTTTTAGTTTGTGCTTTGTGATGTATCTTCGGTTTCTGAATCTTTAAATCATCACTGGGTTTGTGTTTGTGTATAGTTTTTGTTAACTTCTACAAACATAATCAACAAATAGTTATGAAGGGAAAAGTTTCATCTAAGCGCCATTTGGTATTGTCTAGTAGAAAGTTATTGGCCAGAATTATACAATAATTATTATGTGGTTCGGTAGACATGAAATAAGCTCATTTTAGCTGTCGAGAGCATGGTTCGAGCTCCGCATCACGTACTTCGGGTTAGCTCACACACTTAGAGTATAGATCAGTGAACCAGTTTATTTAATTAACTTAAATTTACCGGATTATAAACACGAACCAACATTATCGATCACGCTTCATCAGTTCAACTGATCCATATGTGTTCCGAAGTATTGTTTTTCTGTCTGTGATTCTGAAATTTCGCCACTGTCTATTCCATACTACAGACTTCATTTTAGCTCATTTCAAATTCTGTTTTTTTCTATTAGGGTTTAAATCAACTCATCTCTAACAATAAATCACATATAATACCAAGTATAAGTGTCAGAACTTACAAATAACAAAACATAATGTCGACATAAATTACACAAAACATTTCTATTCCTATTTGTATACGTATGTCATGTAATTTCCGAGAGTATTAAACACATAGTGAAAAAGCTAAATGGGATCTCGTTTTTGGATTTTAGCTATATTCATGTACAGTGAGTAAAACTAAGCGAAAATGTCATTCATTTTATTGTTTTTCTTTAAAAAAATATGCATTTATTCCTTCAATAACGTCACACAGCTATGTGTCTCTGGAATCAGAATTAGTTCACATTTAAGTACAGTTTTTTTCGTTTTTTCTCAACTTTATATTTCAACTGTTTAGGATTTCATCTGATTTCATTGCCATTCTTATCACCAGCAGTCATATGCATTACATTAATGTTAGTTCCGTTTATCTCAATCTAAGGTTTTTACATTTCAACTTTTTTCTGTATTTTTCTACATTTATATGTAAATGAACACTTACTCAATGAAAATACAATAAGTGAATTCTAAATCGTGATAGCAAAATGAAAATAATTGTAAAACTGTGATGAGAATGAATTTATCGTTTATACAAACGGTCTGATAACACCAGTGTGCAATAGTTTTTAACCTAGAAGTGATTCATGCTGTTTTGTGTCTTTTACTGGATTTTTATTTATATACAAATGTTGAATCTTCTTGATCGATTTCATTATATAAAAGAAGTTTTCTATACGGTTTTTGTTCTAATATAGTCATTGAGTATAACACCTTTTAAAAAAAACTATACTTCATATAGTCTAATCTTATCACCTAAGTATACAAACATAATGCGTGCATTGAAAGCTACAACCAAGTTTTTGCTTTTTACACTAATTTATAAGGTTGCTTTACTTTATTGTTCTAGGCCTAACTTATTACATATATCTGTGAGCAAGATACTTGTGTAGCTATACTCTCAACTGTTCTTTTATTTATGATAATTGTCACTGCAATTAGTACCATTGTTTTATTATAAGTGGATGAACTTTGTTTTCTGCATATTCAAATTTTTCATGAAATATACTGTTGTGAAATGTTTAAATTGGTAAGTGAAATAATTGAATTGTGCTTATCAGGAAAACATTTGAATGACCAATTGATTTATATACTTTTACATGTTTGGTTGTATTCAATGAACAAAAAGATATTTATTTAGTTATTTTGTTCACTAATAATTTGTTCTCAATTTATATTGGCAGTAAACCTTTACAATGAATTGGTACTCTCATTTACAGCCCCTATTAATTAAAAAATTTGCAACTCTTTGTTAATCATAACCGTTGCATAATATTTATGTTTCACTACCATGTTATGACTATAGATATCTGTCTGCACGACTTTCTAGGTGTTTTTTTCCAATATTAGCATATAAAACGCATAATTTAAATAAACTGTATGTTCTTCGGCATAAAAGTCCTTTATCTATAAAGTTACGTATGGTTATTGGTAATGTTTATAGGTGACTTGATTTAGATGAAATTTAACTGATAAGTCAGTCAAATCATCCAACTGCTTTACTATTTATAAACAGATTAGACATTGACGAAATTTACTATTGTTTCAAGAGAAGGAATTTCTAAGCACATATTTTTCCGTAAAGACTGTTGAAGTTGTTACTGGCACGTCTGACTAAATAATGACATTATTGACGCCAACAGAAACCTATCGATTGAAATGCTAACAAAAACTACGGGAAATTACAAACTATTACTGATTGCTGGTAATACATTACAGATTAACTTCATTTGCATCGTAAAATTATTGGTATTTCTATGTCTATTTATTAAATTGGATGTATCATCCATTGGTCAACTGTTTTAAGGCGTAGCGTTTTCACAAAATTTCTACTTTTCAATATTCTATTGATGTTGAATGGTATCTCTATGGTTCTTCCTTTCTTTTTTATAGTTCTGCTTAAATGGTTAGTATGTATGATGAGTAAATCGATTTTATTTTTTTAATTCTTGTTCATAACATTCTATAGTATCATTGTTTATTCTTATTTATGTCAAGTTTTTTTATTACTGTCAGGTAGCAACGCGAATGCCAAGAAAATTAGTACTGAATTTCTCCATGTATTGAAATCCTAACCTCACCTAATGTTTGATCACTTGTCTAATCCAATTAAGTGAATTTTATTCAAATCACTAAACCAATATTCTTGACTTAAAGAACACAGCTGTTTTACTGTTGAAGTTGTTTCATTATTATTAATTTGATTGCTAATTGGGTTCACGTAGTTTTCCATAATTTTGTGTGAACGTTTATTTTACTGGTTTATTTAAACTCCTTAAAATTAGACTGTAGTTCAAAGAACAGATCTCTTTGTAGACATTCTAATCTCTGTTCGTTTACAATATTATAAGCATTTAGCTGTAATGAAGCGAAACACGTTAGACTCGTTGCTATTTTAGGATTTAGAGGATTAATACATAATTAACTCAAGGACATCATCAGCTTTCATTGACTTCGAAAATATTATTTGATGTGTAGTCGAAAATTATTGAATACTGTTTCTATCTGGTTCACCCGCCCTTATCGTATATTAAATAGTATCACTTCAGTCTCTCAGTAATATACGTCAAATTTGTTTATTTGGCTTCATAATAACATTACCCATTTATACTTTCAGTTTTTACGAGGTTCTACACAAAATAATGTACTGCTGTGTTATATTTGTCTATTGTTTCCTTCAATGAACAGTGGAACAATGGTTGATCATTCAGTTGTTCGACTTAAGTACAAAGTAATGTCATTTACCGTACATGATGGGTCAGCTTTAGTTGTGCTTTTATTTCGAACTTATCACATAGTATCTAAGATTATAAAGTATCTGAAATGCCTAATCAAATTCCTTCCGTACCCAGATATTAGATACCTTTTTTGCTGTTTTATCCAATGCACATTAAAACATTATTTCTGTAACTTCTGTTTCAACTAATCCATATATATATTTCTGGTTTTATCTTTTTACTAATATCATTTCAAGCCTTACATTCATCCTGCTGTTCACGCGTTTGAAAAATTATTTAATATAGTTAATCGTCGCAATGATACAGCATACATTGTTTTTTTAAACCGGGATCATTTCCTCCTGCCTTCAGTTGATCCATTACCTGCAAATATGAAACAGAAAATAACGTTCCTACTTCCAGCTCATTCTGTGATCAACGGTAAGTTAATATAATGTTTTTTATTGGTTATAAAATTTTTTTAGCATATTTTTCAGCCTCGTGCATTATTAGTTAACCATCTTAACCTGAAAAATTCTGAAAGTCTAACTGTAGTGTCATTAGTATAATCTTATTTTATGGATAATACTACAAATAAGCCTTATATAAAAAATACTATCCACTTTCCAATCCTTTCATGAAAGTTTAAATAAGTGATATTTTTGGCATGATGCTTGTTATGAGGCGTAAAAATATTCGGTTTTATTTCACTTGATGTAATTTCATACTACTGATGAGTTCTAGGATGAAATGGAATACGTATCTAGTGCTCTTTGGTGTTCAACTGTTCTGCAGTTAATGTTTTTATTTATGATTAATAGTAACCTTAGAAATCAACTTGGCAACTGTAACACCATGTTTCATTAGAATCGTATATATCTTACTGGTATTTATATAAAACTGAAAATATTTTACTGTTTTTACATCATTTATCAAATTTAAATGTATTCATATTTATTGGTTGCTTAAATCTCGTTGATACTTAGAACTAAATTGATCAGTATTTTTTTGTTATATGTGCATCGTGTGCAGATATTGTCGTTAAGCCACAAGTCTTATAAGCAGAGATGTATGGTATCTAGTTGTCAAATCTGAAACGAGTGTTTCGTCTCGTTCGAGACTCATCAGCTGGATGTAACTCCATTCCCAAATAAATCATCTTTTCGGTTGACAACAAATGAGAGGACGAAAAGCGAATATCCGGCGCTTTAACCGGATTCCAAATCAATGGTGCACATGGGCTCCAGTATCCTGCGGGAACAAATGGCGTATGAACCAATTTTCGGTCACCGACTACCATGGGACTGCGTCTCCTTACGATGCTCCACTGCCTTGTGGATTAGACCTTTAAGTCAAAGGCTCAGGGAGTGGCCCCCTAAGATAATTACCTGTTTCGGTCTGGGCACCCGGGCAGCATCGCAGCCCACGCGCAATTAATGAACTGAAATTGTGTGGCGCATATATATTTGGCGCACTCCTGTACCAATATATATGTGTTCAAATAAAATAAAACTCTACAAAATGAGAGGACACCGTATGCTCAACACTACTTTTATGACATAGTAACTAAAGTAACATTTTGAATGTAAAGTTAAAAATAAGTGTGAATAGACATAATATCCCGATAATAAACTGTATGATGTAGAAAAAGACTAATTCATCTAGATGGATACTGCATTCATGCAGTATTCTTATTGTTATTATTATTAAATAACATTGCTTGGTTATTAATTTTCTTAATAGCTCACTCCTTATATTGTTTTGCCTAAGGTTATACCTAAATTATTAGCGTGTACGCATATTTTTATTTTTCGTTTATTTCATTTTTCCACATTGTTAATCAGTACATTGAGCAGCCTACCACTTTATATTTCATGAACAAAGGGTTTAATTCTTCTGCTTTTTACTTACTCCTGTTACTCCTCGTGAAGGAGCATGGGCCGCTCACCAGCATTCTCCATCCAACCCTGTCCTGAACAATCCTTTCCAGCTCCTTCCAGTTGTTATTCATCCTTTTCATATCTGCTTCTATTTCCCAACGTAATGTGTTCTTTGGCCTTCCTCTTTTCCACTTCCCTTCACAATTTCACGTTAGGGCTTGCCTCGTGATGTAGTTTGATGATTTGCGTAGTGTATATCCTATCCATTTCCATCGTCTTTTCCTAAATTCCTCTTCAGATAGAAACCGGTTTGTTCTTTCCTACAGAAGGCTATTGCTGATGGTATCCGGCCAATGGATGTTGATTATCTTGCATAGACAACCATTTATAAATACTTGTACCTTCTTGATGGTGGTTGTAGTAGTTCTACAAGTTTCAGCTCCGTACAATAGAACTGCCTTGACGTTGGTATTGAAGATTCTGACGTTGATACTAGTTAAAAGTTGTTTTGAGTTCCATGTGTTCTTCAACTGAAGGACTGCGACCCTTGCCTTGCCAAACCTCGCCTTTACGTCTGCATCTGAGCCTCCTTGTTCATCGACGATACTTCCCAGGTATGTGAAGGATTCTACATCTTCCAGAGTTTCGCCATCAAGAGTGATTGGATTGCTGTTCTCCGTATTGTATTTGAGGACCTTGGTTTTTCCATTGTTTATGTTGAGGCCTACTGCTGCAGAGACTGCTGCCACACTGGCTGTCTTTGCCTGCATCTGTTCGTGTGTATGCGATAGGAGGGCTAGGTGATCTGCGAAGTCCAAATCGTCTTATTGGTTCTGAGCTGTCCACTGTATGCCGCGTTTTCCCTCGGATGTCGAGGTCTTCATAATCCAGTCGACACCAGAAGAAAGAAGGGAGAGAGTAGACAGCCTTGTCTGACTCCGGTCCTTACTTGGAATGCGTCTGTCAGCTGTCCTCCATGCAATACTTTGCACTGTAGTCCGTCGTATGAGTTCCGGATAATGTTGACAATCTTCTCAGGAACTCCATAGTGTCGAAGAACTTTCCCTAACGTCCTCCTATCTACACTGTCAAACGACTTTTCATAATCAATGAAGTTGATGTACAGTGACGAGTTCCACTCAACTGATTGTTCGACGATGATCCGTAGTGTCGTAATTTGGTCTGTGCACGACCGATCCTTACAGAATCCAGCTTGTTGATCTCGAAGTTGGGCGTCTACTGCGTCATTACATCATTTTAACATCAATAGTTTAACGTTTTCGATTTGTATTCTTCACGGACTTAGCTTATATTCTCATCAAAATAGATTTATAGTATTACTGTCTTTAGTTGTGTTATATAATGACGTATCGTAATCTTGCAGTATTGTTGATATTTTCAAGGTTGTTTTTCGGTTAGTTACGTTTTACTTTCTCTTTCCCTGTCGCATAGATTATACTTTTTTCGTTACTGTTTGCTAAGTATCATATTTCCAGTTCGCAAAAGAGCAAAAGAAATGATATATTTACTATCTTTGAGTCTGATAAACTAATGGTGAGAATATAATTCATGGACGATGTGTGAGGGATGCTTAAGTGACCTTGAAAATGAGGGTTATAAATTAGTGTGAGGAATTGGGATTTACATTTGGACGTTGGAGATTTCATCACGAATGGACATCAGCTATTCTACCGAAATGCTATTTATCTATATGGATAAATGAATTTTATGTCAAAATCCATGACTTTCTATTTTATTTCTGGTTGGTTGTTCTATAGATTAATGTCTCACCATAGAAATAATGCTGTACTTTGAGAGTGAAAAATGATTTTTAAAGCTGTTCAATATTTAATACGTGTTTACCACTTCAGCCAATGATATTTTTAGCATAAAAAAGACGAAATGAAATATTTTTTGCCGAAAATTTTTGGCATTTGTAGCTCTATGTTTAGATTTATTTAGTCTTTAGTAATAGTGGTGAATTTGTCACTGGTGTCCTAAAAATTATAATAATTAATGAAAGTAAGTAATAAATAATTAGTGGCAGAAAGAACAACGACAGACATAGCGCAGCAATGACCTTGATCCATCAAATAAAATGTTTAATAAAAGTTTAGATCTAATGCATTATCCAAAGTAATAATGGCATTTGTTTTTGAAAAGAATTCGACTCTGTCATGTAAATAAACTCACATTCATTTTCCTCGCTTCTTTACTCTTACTTAACGATTACTAATATTTGATCTGTTTAATCTTTAAGTAACTATTATATTAATATTTGACTGAATTTTTTCGAATTTCTCATTCATTATTCATCTTATAACGATCTATTTAATTCCATTCGTAAAATAATATCTTCTCAATCATTAGTATCGTCATCCATACAATTTTATCTTTGCATCAATTTCCAATAATGTTGTCGTGACTTTCGCCTGTTATATATCACCTGATTTACTCGCTAATCACAATACAACTTAGACAATCTTAACACTGTCCTTATTGGCCCTTTTACCTGCCTAGCCCTGCTTGTTCAGTCCCGAACACCAATATCAGCTTCTACTATATAAATCGTTTATTTCAAAGATACCTTGGTTTCTATACAAGCCAAACAAACCACATCACACCATAAAATAGATAATAACATTTGTACAAAATCAAGCCAAAAAGCGGCTGTGATTCTGTGAGACTGTAATTAATAAACTGAGTATAACTTAAGGATAGTAAATATTATATTAATAGTCTGTATGTCAAAATAATGCACTTACTCAATAGGTATACAATATATATATGTGTAATATTAGTCCATTAATAGCTTCCAGAAGTTACCCATAATTTAATCTTCTCTAGGATATAACAAATCTCACTAAAGTCACCATTAAATTCATTGTTTGTATTTCATTTTCTCTTGTGAAACTTATTTATTAATGCAGAATTTCTCAGAGCTATGATAAAAGGTTAATTAAAATATGAAATATTACTTTATTCCTTCAACAACAACAAAAAAAGAAAATCCAAATAGTATACATACTAAATTCTTTAGATATTTTCTATCTTCTTTATTGATTCAATTAGATAATAAGATCAGTGTTTGTATAAACAACAAAATAAGTTTAATTTCTTCTTTATCCCACCTTTATGTTACTAGAAGAAAATAATTAACCTTAAAATAATTGTTCTATTCTGTATTTATGAGTACCATAATTTTATGATATCCTTATTAAATTAATCTGTACACTATTTTTTACCAACACATAATGTAGATGATAACCTTTTTGGTCAACGCATACATTATTTCTTTCTAAAAACATTATTTACTTAAGAGAGTTTAATAAGATTTCTCTACATATCAGTTTGTATATAATTGTTTATGTCGAACTTTACCTAAAATTATTATACATCGTTAAAGTGTTACAACAAAATTACAAAAGGTGTCTTAACATAAGGACGAGAGAATTTTTCGATCTGAGTGGCCACAAAATAAAATATAAATTGAGTATAAAAATGTACAATTTCCCCCTTTAGATTAGTGTACATTTTAAATTGTATTTGTTATATCCGGAT